CCACCACATATCCCTCGTGCTCATACTCACGTTTTCCATTACCCTCGTGGCGATCAGTCCCAGTTTCATCCCCATACCCCGACGTCGAACCGTGCTCACAACCCGAGACCCGTCATACCCCCTCAAGAGCGGGTGACGTCCTTCATTCCCTCTGGTACGTGTACTCGTGACTGGGAGCCTCGTCCCTTGAACAGTTGTTCTTTATCAGGAACCTCGTTTCGTCCACTTCAACAACGAACTCCCGGCCATCGTCCACTGTCGCCTCGCCAACAAGAGTCATATAGCTCGCATACACATGCACATAGTCGAGCAACTCAGTTGGACCATGGCTACCCCCTTCCTAATCCCCGCTTAAATGAAGGTATTCGAATCGATTCACTCGTGTGTTTTTGTTCTTGGTACTTACGGATTAACCTTATTACAGAACCCATGATCCCTGTCCACCATATGCACGCACGAAACGGACAACCGTCACCATTCGTCCATGAAACCTCACGAATTCCACCACCTGGCCGTCCAAATTCAAGATCACCACCCACACCCGGACTATATGCATCCCACTTTCGCACTCGCCCACTGGTCTGGACCCCTGACCCGTGCTCTCCCCAACAGTGCCCCCATGCACCACCTGCTGCTGCTTCTGGACACACAGGAAATGCTGAATTTGGACAAGAGTCCGGTTCAGGGCGGCAGCGAAGACCTGCTCCGCCACCAGCGCCGGTGCAGCATCCCGCACCGCCACCGCCACCGGCATTGTCGGTGCCGGGACGTCCCGCGCCGCTGCCGCGGAGCCGGCCATGCTACGGGACTTTGCCACCTCCGTTTCCTACACCCGGTGCGGGTGGCATCCCACAGTGGAGTCCTGCTACTTGGCCACCGATGCCGTGGCCCACGGATGCACCTGTACGACTGGCGCCATGTCTCATTCCTAACACTGTCAACCCCTACGTACCGCAGCTGAAATGGGACGTGAGCAGCCATCCCTCAACAGCTCGACGTGTCACCGGTGCACACGTCACTTTACCTCTGGACTTCGCAGCGGGAGGAGGAGGTGGGGGTGGGGGTAGGGATGATGGGACCACGGGCCTGAGAGTAGACGAGCCCGTGACGTACCCCGCGTCCGACAGGATCATTGTATCCTGTGACCAAATTGGCATTATTGGCCAATTATGGGGGCCGATCGTCATTGAACGATCGGGAGGCAGAAGTGTCACGATTCGTGACCTTCTTGCAGGGATCTACGCATTCTTCCAGACACGCGTCACGCGTGCGGAAGTGGAACGGATCTCATCTCTCGGGGAAGATAATTACCAATCGATGGTAGATGCATATAGGCGGCGGACGACCCAGAGCGACTTGGGTGCATCGAGGGATTGGGAGTGGAGGGAGGGGGTGAGGAGGGTGGACTGTCTCGGGGAGGGGAGGTGGTGGTGGGGTGCATGGCTAACTTATCCGTATTATAATGATGGCGATGATAACTTGGAGGGGATTCTGTGGAGGCTGCATTTGGGACTGATGGACTCTGCACATCGGAATGTTATTCACATATAATATAATATAACCTGTGTTAAAAGTATGAGTTTGCAGAAATGTGTGTGGGGATGTGTTGTGTTGAGTGCACCGTCGCGACATCTTCCAGGTCACTGTCATCACCAAACTATCAGGTGTGAATCACGCGGAGAGGCTTACCGCGGATTCATTTGATGACAACCTATGATTAACCCGTGGAGTAGTATTGCTAGGAGGTATGTGATAAAATTTACAGATGATGAGTCGACTTCTGTTCAATGTTTCCCTACCAGATGCGCCGCTTTTCGTTGCGCGAGGTGATCAACCGGTAATCGTTCAAATTACAGCCAAAAGGTTGTAGAGTCTCGTGTTCTTGTCACTGTCCTCGTGTACTGACATTGTATATTTCATACCTCCTGTTCGTCGCGGAAGCGGAACGTGGTTTACTGGTCGGCAGCCACGTCCGAGGTTCGTTCTGGCGTGGTCACCGCTCCCTCTGTTGATTCTAATAATATAACAGCAAGGCACCCTGCGAGTAAAAATAGAACGGAAAATCGTGAATAACTGCTGATAATTATAGAGCGAGTGCGATCATCGAGACTGACCTCAGTTGCAGCAGAACAAAAAAAACGAAAAAGAGCTTACAGCCATTTGAATGCAACCGGACACTTCCACGGATGAGGTCGCGTAGCCTCGTCGACTGGTATAGAAGATTTGCTCGTGAACCAGGCGTGGACCCGAACAAAAAAAATCCCTTCCTACTTCATTCAGCAATTCGCTCATCCACCCGACACTTTTTTCTGCTTCCTGGATGGACAGCCTACCACCCGCACCAACGATCACCTCTCTCACACCCGAGCTTGCAGAGCAGCTCCATGCGTCGCGCGCTGGACGTCCTGGTGTACCTCGTCGAAACCAACTTTGCCACTACCCACTCTTACACGATTCGTCCCGGAGATAGCGGTGTCGATCGTTTGTTGCAGCAGCAGGATGCGGATGACACGACTAGTTGCTCTGTCCAGCAGTTGTTCGAGGTAACGTTGGACTGAGCGTTTATGAGGACTACCTTCCCTTCGTCTCGCGAATCTTCGACGAGCCATGCCGAAAATCGTCGGTAGAGAACCTCATGGCTCCAGGCCTCCCGTGCTTCACCGCACACTCGTCGGGTACATCAGGAGGCGCAACGAAGCATTTCCCAAAGTACCGTCACCCAGATCACATGTCACTGTCCACCTCGGACGCGATGAAAAACCCCAACCCACCGACGAGCAATGGCGGAGGGAAGAACTGTATCACGTATTGCGGAGATGGTCGGCGGATGGCTTGGGATAGGGTGGGAATGACCCTGGGCACTCTTTTCAGGTGGGTGAACGCGTTCTGACTTCGTAACAAGGGTGGACGTCGCGGGAAGTGGGACGACTGCAACAGAAATGTCCTTGCCAATCGGCGACGCGGACAACATGCCATCGAAGAACAGTCTTTCCGTGCATGACCGAGCCTCCGACGAAACGAACCGGCCATAATCTGCTTGTTTGTGTAAATAGGGGACACTTGCGACAGTGGTGTATTCGTACGTCTAGGGCCGAGTCTGAGTCAAACTAGGTGCTGGCTTAGTCGGTGAATCCATCTCTTTACCCTGTTCATCATATCATAGGCCAGTCATGAAAACCGCCCTCGCCGAATCTAAAGAAGCTAATATTCCCCGAATCAACAGCAGCGATAACGACCGATTTCTTCCCAGCTTTGAGGTGCACGAACGGGTTGGGTTTCAGAGTTGCTGGGTTGCGAGACCCATAGAGCGGTGCTGCGTGGGACTTGAATTGAAGATAGGAAAGTAGGCGCTGAATCCATGTCTGTGGTGGCGGTATAGGGAGGCTTAGCGGTCTGGGCGATGCGTTGGTGACTGCAGCATCATTCGCATTTTTGGCATCAGGTTGAGTTCTCCGTTTCCGTGGGGGTGGAAGCGGCATCTCCGGGAGACCCTCAAAGAGGGCCGTAAGTTCGTGCAGGCTGGGTGTGGCGGTGGTGCGTGCACTGTCCCAGCGAGGTCCAATCAGCAGTGATTATACCAATAAAAAACGGATGACCGACTTTACAATTACCAAGTAAAAATCTGGCGGCGGCGGGGAAGTTTTGCGGAACGGAGTAGAGGGTTTATACACATGGAAGAAGACGCTATAAGGAGAGGCCGAAGATGCGACCGTCGAATGAGTTGGTGATACTGGTGTGGCTCCCCGATACTTGTACAAGGCGGCACTGTTACCACACCGAATAATGCGTAGAGCCTTGAAGATGTCACCTGATATGATAGTCGGCTGATAAAGTAACGGTGTAGAAAAGAGTAACGAACCATTCGACTTGATGCTACGAAACCGAAGGGGTCTCCATGGACTTGGGTGAAACGCCCAGCCGACGACATTCAAAACCTTCGAGAAGAGATATGAGAATGATTTCAGGATCCTTTGCCAAACGTTCGAAGCCCATGCCGCAAGAAGACACGGGAAACCCGACAGCACAACATGCGAAGCTGAAGTAGGTGGTTTTGCGCGCCTCAGAACAAAGCCGAGACGCCTCAGGTAGGCGTACACCTGGCGGGGATCAGTGCACAATCAGAAAATATGAAATCAAAATCTTCGCGAGAACGCCAGCATCGCTACACACCTGATAGCACTCCAATGACATATCTTCATGGCCGATCATCTCGGCGTATGCTTGCTGAATCGTCATTGGTGCGCCTGGGCTTGTCTCCTCGACATTTTCTAGATTTATTCGAGATGGATTACCCGGTATGCTCTTGTAGCAGAACAAGGCGCCGCGCTCAATCAGGTATACGGCTTCTTCTGGGAGAAGTTCGAGGCGTGGTTCAGTCTTGTTGTTCTTCCCAGAGTCGGGCTCCGTGTTCCCAAAATTTCCAGATGCGCAAGAAACCGAGTGACCCATACTTGCAAAGTGCACGCCGCGTGATGTCACGACGTGTACTCGCGCGACGGGAGGATACCAGATACCATAACTTGCCGATCTGCTGCAAGGGCCGCAACAGACACATTCTTGGTTGTTGACTCATACAGAAAGTGTGAGGCCTTACCTCGAGACGCCTCGTTCCGCCCGAAGAGTTTCAAACATGGCAACGCGCGCCCGGTCGAGTACGTGCAGCTGCAAGTCAGAGCCGCGTCCATGTGATGGTTCGAAATCCTTTTCGCCTCTTTTCGGAATGACAGGACGTGTCAAGACGTGTTTCCTGGGCAGATCATCGTTTGAAACACACGATACTTTGAGACCGCTGAACTCACGTAAGTTTTGTCCAGTCCAATGCGCCGTCCTCGTCGCCCGATGATTGTTCTTCATATTCGGATGTCTTGGAGGGTAACAGAGGTAGATCGAGTACGTCGTCCATTCGGTTCGGAGGAGTAACGGCGTGCCATTTATATTAGGCTTTTGGCACGATGCCGAGGGTGTGTGGTATAAAGAAATGCAGGAGGTTGAAATGCAGGGGGTGCGTAGCGCAGTGGTAGCGCGTATGCTTTGCATTCATAATCTTGTATAAGGTCCAGGGTTCAATCCCCTGCGCATCCATATTTTTATTTTTCTCTGACAGAACGACTACCCACTTCAATCTATCGAACTCGTCACTGCATCGCCAATGGTTGTCAGTAACCTAGACAATGTTTTTCGTCGTCCTTAACTCGCTCTTGAGCTTGCAGGCCCGCTCATCGGTCATCTGTACTCTTGTCACCGCGGACATCAGAGCGGTACCAGCGCATCCTGAATCCTGCTCCCTCTAGTCGTGCTCCAGACGAACGCGGTATCAAAGTTCAGCAGACTGCTCTGACCAGGGTATAGACCCCACTCCACTGGTGTAACACCGTTTCCGTGAATTTTCATTTGACGGTACGGTTTTCACGCGTACGACTCGGGAATCCAAGAGCAGACGGTCAGGTACGTCGTACGTTCTCGCCCCCCGCCCTGTATAAAGATACCTATGAATGGTATTATGCCACGACCTATGAACGTTTCTATCCTCATCTATCTACCCTACCTCTCGAATACCATGGCCACAACGGAGACAAGTTCGGTCACCGAACGGTCCAGCGAGATCAACTACAAGTTCTGCATGTCCTCGTTCTGCGATGCATTGCTCACCCACTATAGCCACGCAGACACTGATTCACTAGAGGATCATGTGGGGCATCAGTGTGTCCCAGACCATTCGACGCAGACGGTGTATGTGTGGTTTCACGCGTTGTTGGCATACCTCAGTGGAATCGGATACCCAGAGACAGGGAATACATGGCCACTGGATGTTCAAGTGTTTGTGTCTGTTCTGTTGTCTTCTGACACATTTGATTTACCCGCCCACGTGTTGCGACTAAGTGGACTACATGGGGGTAGATGCATTCGGAGTCCATATCTGCTGCTCAAGCTCGCTCAAGTTCCGCGCCCAGCAACGCACTTAAATAGTTATCCAAATTCACTACGGTACAAGGGCTCTCTCCGTCAAACCGTCGTTCATGCACCATGCATCGCGGCTATTTCAGTACGTGGCATTCATCGCATCCGCCCTTCCTTTGGAGGATTGCAGTATAGTGCGTCCCAGCATTGTTTACCTGATTTCCAAATGCAAGGGATGGAAAGTATAAGTAGCAACGCAAGAGATGGGCTAACAGAGCCAAGTGGCACTATACGGGGTATGTCGAACATGAGATTTCCCAAAAACGATCGAATTGTAAGGTTGCACCAGAGGCGCAACAAAGCATTTCCCAAAGTACCGTCACCCGGATCACATGTTGCTGTCCGCCTCGGAGGCGATGAGAAAGTCGAATCCACCGACGAGCAGCAGCGGAGGGAAGAACTGTATCACGTATTCGTTGGGATACAGGCAGGTGGTGGCTCCGTTGAACGAAGATGGGGATGTGGAACGGCGGATACCTGTTTGTTTGATGACGAGCGGTTGTCATTCGGGTGAGCAACGATATGGTAAGAAGCCGTTTTATGGTTCTCGTTTTTGAAGCTCTGAGCTGATGAGGTGTTTTACAGGTGGTCGAGAGAGACGCTATCTACTCAACCATAAAAGGTGGGTTACATATGGAAATTTTCACACAAACGCCTAAGTGATTTACCTTTGTGCGTATTACTCGTCCCCCCTGGCCGTCTCCTTCATCCAGAACTACAAGTCGTTCCTGTTCATGCACGTCCTCTTTGCTTTGGTGGAACCCAAGCTCGAGACTATCAATACCTTGTCCACCATCACGTGCAGGGACCTGTGTCGTGCCATACATGACCAGTGGAACGACTTCGTTCGCTGTATCGAAACCGATGCGATACCAGACCTCGAAGGGATCGACAAAGTGAAGGAAAACCCTCAGGTCCATTGGGTAGGTAGCACGTATATGTAACGTTGATCGCGACGCTAAAGCCCTCGAACCCCCACAGCGTTTCCTTCAACCCAACCCCAATCGTGCAGAGGAACTGCGCAGGATCGGAAAGGCGACCGAAACGTCGGGATGGTTCAAACGGCTCTGGCCCGAGCTACGTGTTATCCTAGCTACAGCCGGCGGTCCATTTTCCACCGTCATCCCCGGGGTATGTATCATCACTCACCTCGTTCTTGGTATGTTGAATATGCCGACACGCCAAACTCCTCCTCCCACTGCGGAGTCTAAAGGTATGGTGATATGTGCACCTGTGACCCGTCGAGCCGGATGCTTGCTCACGCGCTCACGTCCCACTTTAGCTGCGATACATAGGATTGACAGGGTTAGGAATGAGCCATAGGGCTAGTCATACGGGTATGTTCGTGGGTCATGGCATCGGTAGCCGGGTACCAGGACTCCATTGCGGGATGCTACCTGCACCGGGTGTAGAGAACGGAGACCACCATGGAAAACATATTCCATAGAACGGCCAAAACCCACCCTACGGATGGGCTGCGGCGGCGGCGTACGGGGCATCTGAGGTCGTCGGAGAAGTCGGTGGCAGTGCAGGAGAGGAGTCCATACCACTGGACGAATGGGAAAATGATTTGAGCGTGGGTGGTTGTCTTGAACCAGGATGGTCAGGTGGTGATTCCTCCCCTCTCCAAGACAATCCACCCTCTCTCATCTCCTCCCTCCACTCCGAATCTCTCAACGCCCCCAACTCTCTCCGCGTCGTCCGCCGTCTATATGCGTCCAGCAGCGATCCGTCATGGTCTTCTTTGAGAGCGGAGGTGCGCTCCGCTTCCGCACGCGTGAAGTGCGTCTGGAAGAACGCATAAATACTGGCGAGAAGGTCACGTATCGTGACACTTCTGCCTCCGAGTCGTCCGGGCCGCATAATTGGCGGACAATACCAAGTTTGTCACGGGACACGATGATCCTGTCGGATGGGGGATATGTCACGGGCTCGTAGTCTATCCTCGGGCCCATGCTTCCACTTCCATGAAGCCCAACACGGTCTGGATCGTGCATCGTCCATGCGCATGGATGACGCACGATCGAGACCGCCATTACCTGGACGGAAGTGTTTGAGGTGCTGCGCTGAAACTCCAGTCGCCCGCTGTTGGCTAGTGAAGCAGTGCCGGAGACATTAGAGAGGTAAGCAATTGTCAAGGAAGACCGATGATACCACGAACACATCGACTCTATAGCCTCTTGAAGCTCCGCACTGCTGTCTCTATTGACTAGCCTCTCTGAGATGTCATAATTTGGTACGTATCCACTCACTTCCTCCTTAACCAGTCAGCGATCGCGCGGAATACTTGGATGGCTGATCGCGATGCCTTTGCGCCTTCAGGTTCTGCAAGTTTGTCGATAAACTGTTCGCATATCATCAGCTAGTGACCTGGATTCGAAGATTAGTTGACATACATTGCTTCGCCCAGATCCCGTGGATCCCATGATTCTAGGATAGAGCGAAGCTGCGAATGACGAATAACGGTCATAGAGAGAAACAGAAAACATGCAACACAGTTGCGGGTTGGGAACCATTCTGTGTGTGTGGAAGGGTCTTCAGCGGGGACGGATTTATATCATCCTGGAAAAATGGACACGTGTGGGCACTGGTCTGCATGTCGTCAGGAATGTTCAAACCTATGCCCTCCGATAACGCCACCTGTCTGGCACTTAGTGTTGTTGTGGCAGTCACTACCAACGAAACGCATTGTAGTGCGTCCATGATGGACACACCGAGGGCCTCGTGTGATGTTCTTTTGTACTTCTCCTGATCTGAATTAGAAGTCCTGCACATACCCTCAGTTCATTAAGGAGAGACGGCCCGTTCAATCGCTCTCCTCGCCAGAAAACTGCCAAGAAGTATTGACGACGAGGTGGGCAGCCACCGTGGCACGCCAACATGTGGAGAATTGTGTACTGTGACAACGTGCCGAATGCTGTGCAGCACAATGTTGGCGCACTCTCACTCAGCTAACTCGTGCAAGTGGCGGGCGTGTGCCATATCCTTGGTTCCGTGGCGTTTAGGTCCTACGCTCACGCTGGTTAGTGCAAACTCACCAAGCTAGCTCGAACGACCTGGTAGGCGTAGCTTTGCATCCTGAACGCGCTCGCTCATCTTGGACGAGTCATACTTCATCGAGGCGTGCTTTGCGTCGATGAAATGGGACGGACGGACCTACACGTCCTACCTTTTTGTGTATGCCTAACGATATGCTGTTACATTCAGACAGACACTCGTGTTCCCCAGCGAGCAGGCGCTGAAGTCGAATCCGCCCAGTGGTCGTGACACTGACGTGTATTCCCGAGTTCATATTGAACGCCGGTAGGCTTGGACAATAAGCAACTTGCACCAAGTCCGACGCTCGCCTGGTGCTCATCGTGGAAATGAGAGCCGCACGATTTTTGACAAGTCAACAAGTGACTAGCGCAAATTTACCAATCTAGCTCGAAAAGCCTAGTGGCTTTGCACCCTGAACATGCTCGCTCATCTTGGACAAGTCATACTTCATCGAGACGTGCATTGCGTTGATGAAATGGAACGGACGGTCAAGGTCAAATCCATTCCTTTGTGTATGCCTAACGATACGCTGGTTCATTTGGACAGACACTGCAGGTACTCGTGTCCCTCAGCGAGCAGGCGCTGAGGTTGAATCCGCGCAGTTGTCGTGACACTGACATGTATTCCCAAGTTTACATTGAACGCCGGTACGCTTGGACAATAAGCAACGTGCACTAAGCTTTCCTCCTTACAGCAAGGTCCAACTAGATGCTGCCTCAGTATACTAAATCAGAAACCACCTACCACGCAGTCACCGTACATCCCTCTTCGTCAAATCGGTAAGTACTAAGACCGCCGGGTTTGCATGCGTTGACTGATCAACTCCAAATGCCAGGTATTTTTGACACTGGTGCCCATACCACTTCAGACACCCGAGACGAACCTTCGTTGACGTTCTGATTATTGGAGTTGATCCTGTTGGACTCACGTACGCCAGGGCCCTCCCCGCCGCAAGTGTATTCAGCATCCTCCTGGGTTCCTCATGTCTCTGTCCCAAGTAAAGCATCTGTTTGCGCACTCCAGTAAGAGTCACTCCCTACCGCGTTCGACCAAGCCGATGGGGGGTCTTCCTCGTCAAGAGGCGG